TCTTCGAAGGTTGCTTTTCCACCATTTAGAAGAGAAGTAAGAAGTGAAAAAAAGTATTTGGGCAACAATTTAAGCAGTTCTTGTTATATGGGAGAAAGGAAGAATACTAACTCAAAGAATTGATAATGCAGAAAGAAAGTTAAAAAAACTTTATAAAAATTATCTTCTGCTGAAAAACACAGATCAAAATTGAGCAGTGTTCAATTTTGAGCCTCCAAAAGTGGAAGAAAGAATTTTTTTGAAGGACTTTTTGATATATCAATTAAGAAAGCATCAGAAGTTTTAAAAAACAATGAAGATAAAACATCAATAAGAAAATCCATTAAGTTGTAGTATGGCAGGAATTAATCGCAGTTTAACAGTTATGGAAGCACAGAAATGAGTTTGTGAAACTACAATGGAAATGAGGCATCAAAGCAGTGAAGCCGAATTGATGGATAAAACTGAACTGGTTCCTTCTTCATCAGCAGTTGACATAGTGAGTGCAAGTAGCTCTAGTTCATTAGATGATGATGAATATCAGATTTCTTCCACTTCCAGCACAAGTGGTTCAACAAAAAAGAAGATAAAAGTTTTATCAGATGTTTTATCATCTCTTGATTGGCTTAATATTTTTGATCGCCACACAGTTTTCATTGTTGGAACAACCAGGCTCTTGCTCACTCAGTAAAAGATTTATAATTGTTGTACAGCACAATCATTAAAAACAAGGCAATTGATTCGTAAAGCAGTGAATACAGCTGACAAGGTCAGCTTCTCTCCTAATAGTTTGCTTCTTTTGCATTGGGATGAAAAGCTCTTACCTGATATCACTGATGGTCAACAAAAAGTGGATAGAATTGCCATCTTTGTGACTGGTGAAGGGATGGAAAAATTACTAGGCATTTTAAAAATTGGACGAGGTACAGGTGAGCAACAATGCTTGTATTAAAAGCTTTTGAAGATTGGAAATTGAATTAACATGTTCTGGGCCTAGTTTTGAGTCTACTTCAACACTGGGTTAAACACTGTGCCTGCACAATAATGGAGCAGAATCTTAACCATAATCTTATATGCATGCAGGCACAGTGTGTTTGAAGTCATGTTTTCCACCATTTTTACAACTGCATTTGGAACCTCAAGTGGAACTTTTAAACTGTTTTCAGAAACAATAGCCAGCAATCAACAAAGAGCTGTTCTCCACAGGCAATGAAGAATATTTCAACTGCGATTTTCCTATCAAACTTTGTTAAGAAATGTTAGTATATTATTGTGAAGCAATTTAAGGTCAACAACCCAGGGATGATTACTTAGAACTCTTGAATTTGTGCTTTATTTTTTTGGAGGATCAACTACAACATCAGAGTTTAATGTAAAGCTTCGGGCTCCAGGTCCAAAAAACGATGCACGTTGAATGGCCAAAGCTATTTATTGTCTAAAAATACCAATGTTGTTACTGCAAGAAAAAAAAAGTAATAACAGACATAAGACCTTTTGTGGCATTTGTGGCAAGAAAATGTTGAATCAACTTTAATAAAAATCTTCAGAGTGGAAAATGGATTCAACATATCTTGAAATGAAGCACAAGGTTTGTCCAATGGTCAAAAGGTCATCAACGATTGCGCAGAACAAGGTATAGCATTTATAACATTCTTTAACTCAAGCATTAAGAAAGCAATTTCTTCTTCAATTGATTGATTCCACCAGAAGGAATTTCCAGATGCATCAAAGTCTGTCCTGATAAAGATGACTGTTGATGATAAATAATTGATTTTTGATTGCCTAGTGCATAATAGTAGTATGTAGTACACAAAAAATTTTATACTAAATGATTATTTAGCAGTTTTGTTTTTTAAGCAATAAACAATGACATAAAAAATAAATAATAAAATTATAAATTTGAAAAATTTTTTTCACCTTAGACCAAAAATGTGACAAAACATGGCACCCCTAAATATTACCCAATTTGTTTTAAATTTTGCCAAATAATTACTATTGTCATATAGAACAAAGGCAAGTTTGAGGATAACCAAAGTTTTAAACCTAAAAATTTTGCATCACCCTAATATATATATATATATATACATATATATATATACATATATATATATATATATATATATATATATATATATATATATATATATATATATATATATATATATATATATATATATATATATATATATATATACAGGGCCGGCGCGAGTAAGCACCATGTGTGTGTGTGGGGGGGGGGGGGAGAGCATTACAACTTTTGCTGACTTTAAAAAAAAAAAAAGGTCCTCATTTTTTAAAATTTGCTGACTGCCTTAACGACATTTGCTCACTGAATGTCTAAATTTACCGACTAACTTGTCGAAAGGGTTTACATTTGCCGACTAACTATTCAAAAAGGGTCAAATTTGCCGACTAAATAAACAAAAAAATTATTGATGGGGGGTGTCACACACCCCCATCGCGCCAGCCTTTTCTTTGTTTTATATTTTACAATTAAGGTTAAAATTGAATTATTAACTATATTAGGCATCCTATACTTTTCAACTATTTAAAATTTAAGTAACATTTATAATGAAACTATTCTCAGAAAGAGGTAATATTTTTTATGAAAAAAAAATTAGTTTATTGCCCAAAACTAAATAGCAACTTATTTTGCACCACAATATTCCTAAACTTCAGGAAATCCTTCCATAATTGATTACATAATTGCAAATAAAATTACATTGTGTTTGTTAAGAACTTTGTACTTTTTACTTAGGTTTACATATAGACCTTTATTGCCCTGTAGGACAATCATTTTTTGATTTAATTTACATAGTCTGTGTCTTAAAAATGTCTTTAAAAAAATGTAAAATGTCTTAAAAAATGTCTTAAAAAAAAGGTAAAAATAAATCTGGCATTCTGGCCTGAAATATTATAATTTGGGCCGGAATTACAATATAATCCCCCCTCCTCCCTCATTCATCACTTTACAGTTATGGGGATGGTGTGTGTGTGTGTGTGGGGGGGGGGGGGGGTGTGAATAAAAAAATAAAAAAATTATATAATTTGATGAGAAAAGAATTTTTAGATTTCTTATCGAAATTCTACAATGACGACATACACCAAAACACTTTGGAATTAAATGTCCTAGAATAAATTATAAAGTCTGTAGATTGCGGCATATATTTTAAAGACTTAAAGCAACTGGCTAACATGGAGATGGCGAGCTTCAAGTAAAACAACAAAGTTAGTTTTTCTTGATATACGTTTATTATTTTGCTTTACTCAAAAAAAATTAGCCCAAACTTTTTTTTTTTTAATCATTTAATATAATTCTCTTTAATATGAACACAACTTGTCTCAGCACTTTGGGATCCCTTTAAACACATTTTTTATCTTTTACTGTTCATATTTTAAAATTTTCAATAGAAAATTGAAACTTTTAAATGTTTGAAATTTTTAATTTTGTTTGTGCTAGCAAAAATTATTATTTTAATAAAACTTCTTACATTAACTTCATTCTTCTTTTCTTCTTTATCTTTTCCTTTTTTAACTTTTTTATTTAATTTTTCATTATCTTTTTCAGAATACTTAATATCTGAAATTCGAATTCCTTTATTACTCAATTGTAAAACACATGAAGGAGGATCAGCTGCAGTAAGCATACTACGTTGATTGACAATCTAATAACATTATTTAATTGATGTTAGTAATCAATATTTGTTATTTTAATACTTATTATTGTTAATATTTCTTATAAATACAAACTTTTAATATTATTACTTTAACTATTAACAACACAAGAAACCAATAAACAAGTGTAAATTATTTTAAACTGCAAATCTTAGAAATTGTATATTATTTAATTATAGTTACACTTCTTTCTTTATTTTTTTGGCTGTTACAGACTGAAATTCTATATAATTTCAGTTTCAATTCAAATGAGTTATAGAATAATTTTTCTTTACTATTATTTTATTCTTTACTACTATTTTATTCTTTACTATTGTTTATTGCTATTGTTAATAGTATTATTGTTACAACTACTATGACTAGTACTGCAACTACTACTACTAATACTAGTAATACAACTAGAACAACAACAACAACAACAACAACAACAACTACTACTACAACAACAACAACAACATAAACTACTACTATTACTATTACTACTACTACTACTACTACTACTACTACTACTACTACTACTACTACTACTACTACTACTACTACTACTACTACTACTACTACTACTACTACTACTACTACTGACTTTGTTAAGAAATTTCCCATTAAGTCCTTCAGTTTCCTTCACAAAAATTCTTGAGGTACCAATGACTCACTATTTAAATGAATTGAGCAATTGGTCATTGGTTGATAACAAAGAGTTGTATTAGACAGGCTGACATCAGAGTGGGTACTAGTAGAAAAAAGCAATGCATCAAAGGCATACCAAATAAAAACTAAGACACACACAAAATGACATAGTCAGATAGAGATTGTTAAAAACTAAAAGAATCAAAACTCAAATGAGGTCTAGCTATTATGGTTTTAAATCACTTGAGTATTTTGTACTAGAAACAAAATACTTGGTCAATTAAAAAAACTTTTCACAAATACAGAATAGCAGTATGTTAAATATTGTATATTGCATACAATTACTGAAACACTATACCTGGTCTCCTCAACAAAAATATGATATAAAGGATGCTTGAGTAAAGGTTAGAGATGATGTCTTGATAAAAATACTCATCTTAGTTACAGCTTAGGGTTTATTAATAGTAATAAGGTAATTTCTTGGACTATTAGATAGTATACTGAGTACTATCTGTGGTTTTAGTCAAGTTCTTTAACTAATTTAAAAAATGACTAACGTATCAAAGACTAATAAACACAAAAAACATTGTCATCACCGAGTTCTCTAAAAATATCATTCACTAATATTAATGATTTTAAAAGTAACTTTTCTTTTAATAAGTCTTATCTAATGCAAACTTCACCAGACCAACTTGCTCTTTGTGAGACTAATTTAAATTCAGCTGTCTCATCTTTTGACCTTTGTGTGGAGGGTTACCTTTCTTTAACTCAAAAAAACTCCAATAGTCACATGCTGGGCCTGGGCATTTACATTCATAATAATTAATGCATTTGTCAGGAAAAATTTGTTGTTTTGAATCTACAGACTATTCTTTTATGTGCTTTCGTTTAGCACCACTTCACTCTATCGCCTTTCTTTTTGTTCTATATCACTTTCCTTCATATTAAGACTACACTTTTTTTGATGTTATTTCTGATCAAATTGACCAAGCCCTTTCTCTTTAGCCAATATCATTGTTGTTGTTGGCAACATTAATGCTCATCATATTGAATGGCTCGGTTCGGTGTCAGTGACTTTGCAGGTGTTAAGACCCACAACTTTTGCCTTTCTTAATCTCTAACACAAATATTCAACTTTCCTGACAATTAAAATCAATTATCATCTCTACTCAACTTATGTCTTGCTTCTGATCATAGTCTGTGCTTAGTTTCTCCACATTTACTTTTAGGTGCTTCTGATCACAGTTTGACCTCTCTAAAACTATTATCTCCTTCTTCTTCATCATCAGAATCCCCCTACCATCATTCCTCTTATAACTTCCCTGTAGCAGACTGGGACTCTTTCTGTAACTTTCTTTGTGATGGCACTGAGGTAGAAATTATTGTCTTTCGGCTGACAAATATGCTTTTTATGAAACTAAAAAACAGGCTGGCATAGAAACTTTTATTCCCTCTCAAAGATTCCAAGTCAAGCCTTATACTCTTATCCATTGTTTTCCTCTCATTGTGCTGCTCCAATTTCCAATCGTAACCATTAATTACATATCTGTTGCTAAAACAATCCTCCAGAAAACAGACATCTGTTTACTATTGCAGGAAACAATTGTAAAAAGGTTTTGACTAATGCCAAAGCCCACTATTTCCATATCACAAAATCTCATATTTCATCTCAAAAATTAGGCTTTGAGACTTCTGGAGAATCTTTAGCAAATCTGTTATTCCTCCTTTCTTGCATAGTTCAGATTTTGTTCCCTCACCTTAAGACAAAGCTGAATTGTTTGCTAAGAACTTCTCATCAATCTCATTTTTTGATTCTACTAATCAGCTGATATAGCCAACAAACAAGTTGATCCATTGTTTGACATTTTTATCACTCCAGCTTCTGTACTTAAAGTAGTTTCCTGCTTTGGCCCTTTTACAGCTTGTGGTCCAGACAACATACCTGCTATAGCTTTGCAGAAGTGTTTTCTGGAGCTGTCGTTAAAATGTTCAAAACTATTTAACAAGTGCTTATCAGAGTCTTGCTTTCCAGCCCACTGGATAGCGGAATCTGTTATCCCTATTTTCAAAAAGTCTGGGGAGCAATCTGACTCGTCTAACTACAGTCCCATTAGTCTTCTTCCTATTATAAGCAAAGTTTTTGAGTCTTTAATTAACAAACGCTTAATCTATCATCTTCAATTCAAACTTACTTTCTGATCATCAATATGGATTTCGATCTTGTCATTCTACTGCTGATTTGTTAACGGTAATAACCAATAGGTTTTATTGTGCATTAGATGTGGAAAGGTTAAGGCTATCGCCCTCAACAAAGCTTTCAATAAAGTTTAGCATACCTTGGTTCTTATGTTGTTTCAGGTAACATCTTTAAGATTAATGAATCCTTTGTAACCTATCCTAGTATAAAAGTTGTTCTAAACAGACAGCACTCTTCTTCATTTCCTGTAACTTCAGGGGTTCCTCAAGGTTCTATCCTTGGCCCTATAATTTTTTTAACTTACATTAACAATTTCCCTGAAATTCTCACATCAAAGGTGGATTTGTTCATTGATGATACTACCATTTATTCTTGTCTTGAAAAGAAGCCAACAATTTCTGATTGCTTGGAGGGGGTATTTGAGCTTGATAAGGATCTCACTTCCGCTATAGCATGGGACTCACAGTGGCTGGTGAATTTTAACTCAGATAAAAATCAATATTCTTCAGCTAATCATTATTGCAATAATCTAGATCTTCCTATGTTTATGAATGGTAATGTACATGATGAGTCATCTACTCTTCATCTTCTAGGATTAACTCTTACATTCAAAAATCCAATCTTTCTTGCAAAAATCCATTGCAAAATTAGCATCGGCTAAGGTTGCATTTCTTTATCATGTTCACTACTTTCTTATTCCAGATTCTATTCTTTATCTCTATAAATCTCAAATCCGTCCTTGTATGGAACACTGTTGCCATATCTGGAGCTGATCTTCAAATGATGCCTTTCTTTTTTAGACAAGGTGCAAAAATGCATTGTAAATATAGCTGGACCTGCTCTTGCAGCCAACCTCCAACCATTGTCACATCGTCATAATATTGCTTCTCTTTCTCTTTTCTATAAATACTATAATGAACACTGCTCTAAAGCTAGCGTCTAATGTGCTATTTACTAAAATTTATTCACGTGATACTCGTCATTCAATTAAGTTTCATCTTTTTACGGTGACTGCTTTTAAGTGCTCCAAAAATTCTTTTTCACCTAGTTTTTTTCCTCGAACATCAGTTCTTTGGAATTTGCTGCCTTCAGCTTGTTTTCCTGATTCATACAATTTGAAATCTTTTAAGTTGTCTGTTAAAGACTATCTTGCTCTATAAACTTCATATTTTCTCTTCCTGTAACTTCCAAATCTAATAGTTTATTCTGTGATGATCATTTATTCTGTGGTTTATTTAGCCATTTGGTCATTATTTTTTCCTATAAAAATATTTTTTTGTTGCTCTTCTTAGAGTTATAGAGTTTCTAAAAACAGTAGTTTTTAAAAAAAAGTTGTTTTACTGTTTTTTAAATTTAAAAGAAAATTTTTTTTTATGAATAATTGCAATTTTATTTAATACTTTAAATTCTAATAAAAAACTTTAATTTTTATAAAAATAATTCTAAAATACAAGTACTAATAACGATATAACTGAAAGACATGACTTTATTTTTGTACATTTTTGGAACACTGAAAATAATTTTTCAACATCTGTAGATGTGAACATAATTGCTAATGATGCATTATTATATTTATAACAATTATTATACCCCTAATGAAGATATGAATAGATGTTAAAGAACTGAATGCATTTTAAAAAGAAACATATTTAAACCTTAGCAATTGCAAATGCAAGAACATCTTCTCCTTTAAAATCTGCAACTTCAACTGATCCAAGGAACCTAGAGAATATACATAATATAAAATTTTCAATAATTTTAATAACATAAAAAAAAAGAGAAAAAAAAGGCAAACTCAAATAAATTTTTAATAATTATGACATTTAGTTTATAAATTCCTATATACATATATATATATATATATATATATATATATATATATATATATATATATATATATATATATATATATATATATATATATATATATATATATATATATATATATATATATATATATATATATATATATATATATAAATATATATATATATATATATATATATATACATATATATATATATATATATATATATATATATATATATATATATATATATATATATATATATATATATATATATATATATATATATATATATATATATATATATATAAATATATATATATATATATATATATAAATATATATATATATATATATACTATATATATATATATATATATATATATATATATATATATATATATATATATATATATATATATATATGCCATGACATGAGCAATCAGCTGACAGGTGACAGCACAGGGGCAGAATTTTGTTGACAAGTGCCATTTTGCAGCGGACAAAACAAGTGCAACTTTTTTGGTTTGTTTCATTTTCTTAAGTCTGGTCCGTGACAACGTCACTGAAGTTTTTTAATAATTAAAGGAAGTATCCAGAAGTTTCCAGAAGCATGCAGATGCTTCCAGAAGTTTCCAGAAGAAGCTTCCAGAAGTTTCCAGAAGAAACATCTGGAAACATCCAGAAGTATCCAGAAACATTCAGCAGCATCCAGACGCATCCAGAAGCATCGAAAAGAAGCATCTAGAATCTTCCAGAACAGGTTCATTTTACTATATAAGAGACATGTAAACCGACATGTAATTCAGTCAGTATATGGAAGTCAATCAGTCAGTATTATCAAGACAGTTTATCGAAGTGAGTTTTATCAAAGTGTTTTATCGAAGAACATCAATACAAGAAGTGAAATACAACAAGTGTTTCATTACATCAATACAGTCCACATCCAACCAAGACGTTGTGTTCCACAGAGCATTATTGTCTCATCAGGTAAATGTAACACGGTAAGCCTTGAGAAGCATGACTATTTATTTTTATTATTTTTATGACTTCAAGTGCAAAAATGGCTCCCGACAGTCTTGGATTATAACTAAGAAAGAAAATTATTGGCGATTGTGTAACTGGAATGTCACAAAAAAGTATTTGTGATAAATAACGCGTGAAAAAATGGACCGTATCAAGACTATGTTCCAAATATTGTTCTACAGGGAAGTTGGTAGCAGATAACAAAGGTGGAAGACCGCGTTCCACCACTTCTAGAGAGAATTCTATGATCGTCAGATCCGTTAAGAAGGATCCCTGGATATCATCAGTTGATATATAATTATCAGTCGAGATACAAAAGCAATCAGAGCTGCTTGTATCGGACTGAACAATCAGACGACATGTTGTTAAAACCGAATTGTTTTCTCGACGCCCTGCAAAGAAACCACTGATTTCACTAAAGAACCAGAAGTAAAGACTCCTGTTTGCTACATCTCATATTGACTGGAATGTGCAGAAATGGCGAACTGCCCTGTTCAGTGATAAAGCGAAGTTCAACATCATTGGGAGCAATGGCATTTGTCGTGTACGTCAACCGGCCGAAAAACGCCTTGATTTACGTTACTGCCATAAGACCCTGAAGCATGGTGGAGGCAATGTAATGGTCTGGGAGTGTTTTTCTACTAATGGTCTAGGTCTAATACATCGAATCAATGGAATAGTGGACCGTTTTATGTATAAAAATATCCTGAAAGATGTTATGTTACCTCATGCTGAATGGAATATGCCAATAAAATGGGTTTTTCAGAAAGACAACGATCTGAAACACACTGCAAAAGTAGTCAAGCAGTGGTTTCAAGACAACCACCTATCGGTGATGGATTGGCCGCCTCAATCTCCGGATCTCAACTCTATTGAGAACCTGTGGGAGATCCTCAACTGCAGAATTATTCGTGAAGGTGTTCGTAATAAGGATCAACTGTTTGAACAAATCCAAAAGGCCTGGGCAGCGATTCCACAAAGTTTCATTGACCACCTGATCGAATCTATGCCTCGAAGATGCAAGGCTGTGATCAACAACAAAGGATTCGCCACGAAATAATGATAGCGAAATACAGCTTGGTCAACATTTTGTGGAGTTGCATTTGTTTTGTCCAGAAGGAAATCAACTTTTTTTAATACTTGATTTATTTATTAATTTTCCTGTACAAATAATGAACTTTGTGATGAAAAAAACTTGAAAAACGTTGTCTCTAAACAGTTAAATAGTTATTTCTCTAAATTGAAAAAATGCAGCACTTTTATATAAAGAAACTAAATTAGCATTATTTGATGCACTCGTTTTGTTCAATACTGTATATACATACATACATATATGTATACATACATATATGTATGTATATAGATAGATAGATAGATACATACATACATACATACATACATACATACATACATACATACATACATACATACATACATACATACATACATACATATATCTACATTTATAAAGTATTGTGCACTAAACTAAGCAATCTAGTAATATACTGACGACAGTGTGCAAAATGAACGAAGCATATTAATCTGCCAATTGAATCTTTTATATGCTATTACTTTAACAATTTTTTTAAAAAGACATGCATTTAAAAGCATTAAGAAACACAGCATTTAAAGGCATATAAAATTTAACTTACACAAGAACTAAAAGCAGCAGATCATTTAAAATACCATATATTTAAAAGCTTTAGAAAACGTAGAAGCCGATGCTGAACTTTAAAAAAATTAAAACAAAGCAGTAAAGCTCATTTTCTAATAAATGAGTTTGTAAATTACCATAACTGTTACATCTGAAGTGATAATTTGTTTGCTATTCAAGGAAAAAAAATGCATCCACAAAAAATAATCTGTTTTTTTTTGTTTTTTTTCCCAATCTTTACTTTCAAAAAAGCTGCAAGCGATCACTATTAGAGTTGGAAGTTACTGGAAAATAAAAGACGAGGTTTATAGAGCAAGATAACGATTGACAGACGGCTTATAAGATTGCAAATTATATGAATAATGTTTAATGTGATTTAAAAGCATCATTTCTTTATGAGGCTTTATAAGGGCTTTATGGAGAACTATTGGCTTATAGCTTTTTCGTAGCGCAAAACTGGTAACACTATTACTGTCAATGGTGAATGCTATCAGATGTTAAAAGCATTTCTTTAATGAAGCAAATGACATTTTGCTATGGGGCTATTTTAAAACTAAAAAAGAAAAGCAGAAGATATATACATTCAATTTAATGGTTATTTAATGGTGTATTAACAGTAAAAAAAGCAACCGCATAGCTTATTGCTAAGTGTGCTAAGAACTATATATGGTTGATTCAAGTTATCCTTAACCATTACAACCAATTGTTTGACCTTTTACATGCGATCTTTAAAGTAACTATCTATTTTTAAAAATTTGCATCAACTTTGTTTTGTTTTGGATCATAATATAATTTCGTTTTTGATCATAATTGCCACATGCTTAGCTTGAACATATACTCATGTATAATTCAACTATTAATCATGTAATTCAACTATTTTTCATGAAACAAATTTCCAATTATCAAGCTAGTTTTTAAGTTCTTTCCTTTAGCACCATCAAGTAAAAAATGTTATAGATAACAAGTTTTAGAGGAATTAATTCAATTAAAAAAAAAGCTTCCATTTTAATTATGTTAAATTCTTTTTTCAGGTGGTTGTAAACAATCTGTTTCCTGCAAAATTTTATTAACTTATCCTTTTTAAAGTAAACTTTAAGAATGTTTTAGCCAATTTCTCATTTCCTGAAGTCAACATGTTGGCTATTTTTGTTAATTGCATGCTTGATTCTTTTATTGCATATTTTACTTTGATATTTGCATTATTGACTTTGGCTGTGTCTTCTTCCATTATTAATTCACTTTCTAATTTTATTTGTGCATTATTAATTTATTTTCTATTATACAATGTAAGAGCTTAACAATACTAGAGATTAATCTATTTCTGAACACCCCGAATATTTTTAATACCAGAGATATGATGCCAATAAGTACACATGTCAACATCCCCAGATGCTGACCTTAAAATTAATTTTGGACCTGTTTCCAAAGCATATATAACCCACTCTGTGGTAACCATTATCACAAAAAATATCATTGCTTGATACCTTCTTTAATGTTCTAAATGATCGATGAATACACTGAAGGTTTCCCAAGATACAATTTTTTACTGGTGAATGAGATTGCAGATGTAGCAATAGCAATTATTGACAGCTGTGCACTGTTTGCATTGCAAAGCTGAGAGCACATAAAGTTTACATACATAAAGACTGTTTTCATTCATCTGTGTTTAAACTTAATGTTACTCTATAAGCTGCTAAAGCAATATAAAAAGTTGTAAGTTTGAGCCAGTATTTAGAATCTTTACACTCATTTTCAACTAATTCTTCACCTACTTTGTTAGAGATAGTTTAGAGCTTAAAAATAACTATAACAGGTTAAGTATTGACTGTTTTTGCATTTGTAAATTTATTATCTCGTTTTTCCATTAATTTTTCCAACACGATAAATTGAACCTTTTATTAAAACAGTGTTCATGGCTTTTAATGAGATTAATAAAACTGAGAATTTGAAGACCTGAAATATTTCCAGATATCACAATACACGATCACTTAATTTGCCCATCGTTTACATATAGTACATTTGATAAAAATCAACTAATCACAGCAAAACAAGCCAAAGTTGTTTACCTTCCTGCATTTCTAATGAATTTGCCTAGCCCAGGCATATTTAAAAATGTGATATAAAATTTAAGGATATTCAAGATAAGTTACGATAATTTAGGAAATTTTAGGACAGATTTTTAAAAATCAGGAATTTAAGGACATGTGAGAGACCTGCAAATGAAAATTTAAAAAATTCTATTCATTTAAAAAAGTTCTTAATTTTTTTAAAAAGTTCTTAAGTATTTTTCTAAATTTTTATTTTAATTCTCCCCAAGGCCAAGAAGGCCACTACAGCTGAGAAGGCCACGACAGTTGAGGAGGCCACTACAGTTGAGAAGGCCACTACAGTTGAGGAGGCTACAATTTAATTGTGGTTACAACACTCTCTTAACTCTACAATTTTAAAACACGAACTTTGACAAACAAGGCTACTGTGTAAAAAAACAAGTTAGACGCTGTACTACCAATGACATCATGGGGATTGAACTTGAAACTTCTAGCTTATGAAGCGAGCACTCTACCACTACACCACTACCGTATGTATAGTATAGTATTTTGTTTAATATGTTTGAATATAACATCTAAACCTAATTTAGATGTTTTTTTGAATAAAACATCTAAATTAGGTTTAGATGTTATATTCAAAACAATGGCTGCAAATTGGTTAAAATATACACAAATGACAGTTTCATAAGAAACAAAAGACTCATAAGATTGCAAGATATTCAGAAACAATCTAAACATATCAAAATAGGCTTGATATTTCCTGAAACTTTTCCTGATTTTTCAAATAAATTCTTCAAATAGAATCTCAATTTCAAATTGTTGGATTTTAATTTTATTTAAAAACACTTTATAAATTTTAAGAGTGTATAAAAACGTTTCCTTGAAACAAAAGTATACAAATGTTGCAAGAAATTACGAATAAGAATAAGTTCAGCATCATAATTCATTGATCAGAGTTAATTGAATGGTTTTTGATTAAGAAATTATTTACTTTTAATTACACAATTTGGATTAGAAAAATTGTTCGAATCATAATTACTATTAGTCCAAAATTTTGTTGAAAACTTTTTAGTAAGAGCTATCTGTTTGAGCAAAGTCTGTGGAGACATAATCTAGCTACAGCTTGTGACAGGGATGGGTGTTTTTAGTGTTATTTAACAGATTTGGGTCAAAGCTTTGCTTGTTTAGTTAAATAGATTTGTCCTCCTGCAGAAAAAACTCTTTCAGTGGTTGTAGAGGCAATGGGTCTTCACAGCCAACATCAAGTTGGTTTTTTTTGAATGTTCTTGAGGTTAAAGTCCTTGTCAATGAAGTTCATTGTTAAAATCTCATGTAGGGATTGTATTTTTGAGATGTTGCTAATTCTTGTAGAAAAATTATATTGAAACTTTCAAAACAAAAAATTAAACACTAAAGCAAAAATGTTGTTTTGTATATATCATTAGACATACTCATTCACATGAACATGTTTTAGAATTTCCTATAGTTGGCTTAGATAAATATGTCTTTTTAATAAGTTTGTAAAGAACTAAAAAGCTCATCTCTTATATTTATGGAAAGCATGACCTCAATATTTACAAGACTTTTTTTAACTAAGGATAAACTCAAAAATTTGTTCTTGTCATATTGCTAAACTTCCTTAAACTTTGTCAAAAAATGATTTTTTTGACAAAGTATGTCACTATACTTTTAATTTATATCCAACTTTTCTCTGTTGAAAAAGCTAAACCATAAAGAAACTAATAAAATTAAATACTTTTTAAATAACTGCAAAAATGCAAATTTAATTGACAAATCTTTTTTATTAATGCAAAATGTTTTGGTTTTTATTTATTTTTTATTGTTTTTTACTGTTTTTAATATTTAATTTTATTTGTTTTTATTTTTTTTTTATCTTAATTTTATTGACTGAATTATTTAGGGATCGGAGCGTGGAGTACATAAATAGACTGACTTAAGTAGGGAGTACATGTGAGGAGTGTATATATACTGACTGACCTAAATAGAGAAAACATTTAAGGAGTGTAGATACATTGACTCAGGGTTAGGGCTTAGGCAGGCAGTCTTTTTATTAGAAAAAAAAGAGTTTTTAATTCTGGTGTTGTTTTTTAATTTTCTTAAATTTTGGGTTTATGTCAACAGATTTAAAAAAAGAAAAAATCGAGTGCACAAAAAAAAAATTTTTTTGAACTAATATTAAAATATGAATATAAATAACATTAAAATGTTTTTAATTATTGTTCAATTAATCAAAATAATGATTTTAATGAATTTTAAACTTTCTACCTAAAAGAGATTCAACCAGTTACCAAAATATTTGTTTAGTATATATGATAAACCATTCAAATTTATTACAATTTAAACAAACTGAACAAGAAACAATGAAAAACACATGGAGAAAACAACAACAACTACCATGATCTTTTAAACAGTTAGACTTCAGCTTTGTGATTTTTTTTTTCCTTTGCTAAATCTAAATGCCTTTAATCCAGTACTAACTAAGAATGCTTACTTAATTTTATCACTTATATGTTTATCAACACTATATTATTGTAAGATATTCTTTTGTTAACTTTATTACCATTAGATTTTGTAATTATTCTAACCTCATGAGGAATTGCATATGATCAGCATCTTTAACGTCAGCTAAACAAAAATTTAATTAAATATTTTTTCAAAATATTCAAAATAATGTAGAAAAATGTATACTTATCTTCAATTAATCAAACAAATAATAAATAATAATTTTAAAAAAAATTTCAATTAAAAAAACTAAGTGTTTAATTCTTGACATAAATTAAATAATACAAGAATTCAAGTCAACAAAACATATGCTTTTCACTTTATAAAGTACTCATTTATCAAGCTTATTTACCTTTTTGTTTTCAAATAATCAGTTTGATACTGATACACTAGGATTCACTGATAATTCTTTACAAGTTGTATGAAGAAGTCAATAAGTCCTTAGATAGCACAGAGCACAGCATTCTTGTCAGAAAGGGTAAAGAACAAAAATAATTGATATCGAGCTGTGTAACTTCAAAAAATATTCTGGGATCATGTTTGATTAATAATAAGCCATATTTTAAAATTAAAATGCATTATAAAATTAACTTTTTTTTTTTTTAATTTTTATATTACTTGCTTCTTTTGAGACCTAACATGACATACTTTTGAAAACCATTTTCTTTTTGATAATATTAGGACCCATCAAGCCTTCCAGGGGCTTGTGGCACCTCCTGAAAGTAATTTTTAAAAGGTAACTTTTTACTTTAGTGTTATTTTACTATATAGAGTACATATAAAGAATGTTAGAAGACATTTTTAAATACTCTTTTAATCACCTCCCCCCCCCCCCTCCCTAACATATATATTAGGACAGGCTACAGTACCACATAAATTTTTCAAAGAATCAATTTTACTAATGGCTTTATATAATATTGTTCCTTTTACTATTAATTGATAAGAAAGTATTTTTGTAGCTCATCTTTAAGTTTTTGTAGCTCATCTTTAAGCCGAATTTCATTTTTAGTCTGAATTAATTGAATTAAACAAAAAAACACAAAAATTCCACTGCATCTGTTCCGTTTTTTGATTTGTTTGTTATTTGTTTGTGCATGTTACAATACGTGTTTTTTTTATACAAGCATATGATATTTTTAATATAATTTATGCTTTACATAAATACTACCACCTTAAATTAAAAAAACACAACAACAACTTAAAAGATTAAGACAATAATAAGAATAGGAAACAAATGAAACTTTTGCATATGTAAAAAAATTTGTTTTGCAATGACTTACCAATGCAGTGTATTTTTTACAAAAAAAAAATCAGAAAAGTATTGGTTAGGCCAAACGCAAAAATAAATTAACACAAGCGTGAGCAGTTCTGTCAAATTTGCATTTTTTCATTTTGGTGTCACCCCTCTGTGTCAAGTTGTGATGGTGTCGCCTGGTGTGGCCCTCACCCACTGCACCTCTTAGTGACGCCACTGACAATCGCATCTTTTTTACAACAGTGTAAATATGAATAAATGAAAAAACAATTTAAAAAAGAAAATTTACTTGTTCAAACAATCAATAGATAATATTTTTATATTCATTCTCCAAATAAGAAATATTAAGTTAAACCAAACTGATGCAAGATAAGACATTGTCTAGTCAAGACATTGTCTTCTCAAAAGTTGAAACTAGATGAATAAGCAGGATAGTGTTAAAACTAGTTTTAGGCAGGATTGATGATTTGGAAAAACTTATTTTCACTTAAGATTCTGAGATTCAAAATCTATGAATGGTTGCAAAGCAAATTTATAAAAACTCCTCTATGGCTCACACGCTGTTATCATATTTTAGAATTATTCTTTGGATCATTTTGAAAAACTTTATTTCAAAAACAGACAACAACTTGTGTTGTCTGTTATTGAAATAAAGTTTTCAAAAGTATAATAACTATGTTATCATACATTTTTCAATTATTAAATACAAATTGCTTCACTAGAGAAACTTTCCACTTGCAATTTCCATAAGCTAACTTGATATTGAATCTTTCTTTTAAAAAATGCAAATGAAAATTGCATTTACTTTAAAAAAGTACAATTTAAAGTATCACACATAAAAGATTTATGCGTGATGCAGATGCTGCAGATTTATCAATTTTTCTATTGGCAGTGATGTGTTTTTATAACTTAGAAGACGATGGAAAATGTATTAAAATTCATTTGTAGGAATGGGACGAAAATGTGATTTATTTAAAATAAAGCTGTTTTCAAATCTTTAAAGTAACTATCAATACAAAAAACTTAAAAGATAGTTTGAAATTTACATAAAAATTACTTAAAAGATAGTTTGAAATTTATAAATAAAGATAAAGTATAAAACAAATTCAAATAAAATTTCTTATTTTCAGGGCAAGACTATGGAAAACATAGTTTTGAAAGTGGTCAAAAATCGCAATAAGTAGCAATAATTCACTGATGTAGAACAATATAAACAATAACTGCTTTTATAAACCACTTTTATAGAATGAAATATAACAATAATATATCAAGCAATAATATACCGCGCTCAACTCGTTTCTCCGCGCAGCGGCCTTGTTCGTCAAGTTTCGTGTTTCAGAGTTATAGAGTTGAGAGAGGGTTATAGCCACAAATAAGTAGCCTCCTTGTCTGTAGTGGCCTTCTCGGCCTTGAGGAGGTGAATTAAAATAAAAAAAATTAAAAAATTAAAAAAAAAATATATCGAATAATATAACTAGTAATTAATAATAAATAATAATAATTAATAATATAACTAGCAATAATATATCGAATAATATATGCAATAGTATATCGAACAATATAATAGTAACAAGTTATTTTACTGAAAAAAAAATATTGTTTAGAACAAATATTTGCTATTGATATAAAAATTCTGATCTTTTTTTCCTACAAAATTCTAATTTTGACATATTTTAGCCTAAAAACAAAAATAATGGCTGAAAAGCCAGCCAAAACAAAAACAATTTAAGCAATTAATTTAAAAAAAAGCTAAATAACAAAAACAAAATATTCATGACAGCTAACAATTAACTATTTAAAATAAACAACTACTTGTAGGCTTACTAAGTTTCTAGTTATTATATCAAAAAAACTCTTATGGAAGGCACAATCCATTTAAAGCATTTTTTTTTTTTTATCTTAGTTAAAATTAATAAATTGCAAAATTTCTCAATAAATCACAAAATAAGAAAACTTAAAAGGAAAAACAACTTAAGATAATAATAAAAATAAGATATACTGAAACAAAATAAGTCATTTATTAATAAAAACTAACTTAACCAATTTTTTCTTCTTATTTTCAAGTTCTTTAATTTGTTTTTTTACAAACTCAACCTTTTGTTTAGTATCAAAACTTTTTCTTTTTAATCCATTCCCTTTCTTAACGTAACATAGGTCACTTTTTTTTTCTGCAAGTTCCGTAAATTCTGTCATCTCATTTTCCATCATTAAAATTACATTATTTCCAACCTTAACTTTTTTGATTTAATTTTTCGATGTCGGCTGTGATGTGCATATATGTGCTTTTTGTTCTTGCTTTGTTTCCACTTTCTCTTTTTAAGCATTATCCAACTCAATTATATATTTTTGATGGGCTGATCAAAAAGCTATGACCAACAGTGCTGTGATTTGGGCTGCGTGCGATTATAAATCATTGGCAATTAAATGATCCTTTACTATTCTACAGGAGATAATAAAACAAGGTGCCATGTTTGTTTTAACAGAAGGACATGTTAATGCTAAAACTACGCTCAACAGCAGCCTGGTTATGACTAAGTGCTTAAGTTAATTTAAAGACAATTTGATGAAATTGCTGACAAAAGCATGTTAAAAATAAAAATCATCAAGACAATCTTTTGGATGAAAAAACTTAAAAATTTTTTGTTTTTTGGCTTTGAATTTATTATCCAAAAAATCTTTAAACCGAGAAACATCAAGTCACATTGCTGTGGTGATAAATTCTTAAACTCATGAAGTACCCTTAAGTTAAGTTTTCAAACAATCAACCAATTTTGGTTTTGTCATTAAGACATTAGGGTCAAAGATACTGGATGCCCTTATCAATAAATAACTCAATGGAGATTTGTCACAAAAGCTTTTCACCATTGAAACAACAAATTTCTTGGCCGCCTTAAAGAACTTTTTGTTTTAAGACAATGTTATCAAATTATTCTTTTTCAGATGATATAACTCTTCAGAAACAGAAAACCGTGTGCTAAACTTTTCATCAGGTAACAGATTATTAGTCAAAGAAAAATCCAGATATTTTAACATTTTCTAGCTTCTGCATTTTTCAAGGACATCTGGTTTTGCAATAACTTCAAATAACTTTATTATTATTTCCTTTACATTAAAGTATAAAAATGGAACCATTGAACAGTCTGTCTGGTATTTGTTCAGAAAAGGTCCAACTATATTTGAAATATAAGCAAAGAAATGTAACTTGGGAAGCAATAAATGATCTTGAAGTGCCTTTTTTAATGTCTCATAACTTTTACATTTTAGTTGTTTGGATTTAGGTAAAGCATTCCAGAAAGAAAATAAATTTTTCAACTTTCAATCTTTAGTTTACTGAACTATTAAATTAAAATTTTATTTTTCACTTTTTAGCACAAAAAAGATTGTTTTTTAGTAATGCTTTCGCTGTTTTTACTTTTTGATGCTTGAAGCTAACTCAAGATAATTATTATTATGTAGCATTGTTATGTCACAATATTTAAATATTGTGTTTATTAACACAATTATTTAATAGTGTTCAGACTACAAGAAATAAGAGGAAGAGTTTCAACTAAGTTCTCTAGTTGCAAACAAAATAGGTGTAACACTGAGATAAACATTGCTACAATGTTTATCTCAATGTTAGTAAAATAATGTTAACAATATTGCACGTATACGTTTCTTAGTAAAAACAATCTATATCAGCCTGTTAACTACCTTTTTGTTTTCAACCTATCTAAAATATAAATCAAATACTATTTAGAAACATTTTAAATCATAGCAAGTCATATTGGTTCTATTGTCAATACTTTTGTATCAGTCAGTGAGTTAGATGTTTCACAACAAATGTTGTCTGTCTTACTATAACTGCCAGTAACTAAATGACTAACTA